TAACAGGGTGTTTTTTTTTTTTTTTTTTTATTTTATTTATTTATTTGTGTGTGTGTGTGTGTGTGTGTGTGGCCAGCTCAGCCCACCAGGGGGCAGGGCTGGCTGGCATGTGGTGCTGGGGGATCGAACCGCGGTCCCTTTGCTTTTGTTAAGCTTGTTCTAAGTAGGTGCTTTAGACCACTGAGCCATCTCACCAGCCCCCTAACAGGGTGTTTGTAGCACCAAGAGCACAGCTGAGGATGTGGCGGGTGGGTACAGGAAATGGGGGACCTTTAGGCCCCAGCCATATCTCAGGGAACAGACTTCAGAGTCCCTGGCCTTGCAGTATGTTTGGGGGGCTAGTAGGGCAGAGCTTCCAGTCACCCTGCCCCTACAGTCTAGTTTTGTATGTGGCAGTGGGCCTACCAGGAGTGGACAACCAGGGCAGCTCAGCCAGTCCTTGGTGCTCTACATCTTTGTTGGGGCTCATTATGTCAACCTGAATGACTGCCCACATGGCCAGGCTTATTCTCCGGCACTGTCAGGGGCTCAGCTGGTTCCATGGGACCCAAAGCTCCCCTCATAGATCACACTATTAGACCAGCTGCCATGGTCCATCATCCCTACCGATGCAGACACTCTTGTCAGGCAAAACCCCTTAAGGGCTTGGATATGACTTTGCAGGGACCAAGACAAAGGCCAGACCTCTTTTGAGGAAGGTTTCTTCTTCACCTTACTCTCCAGCCCATTGCTGTGACGTCCTGGGAGCCCTTTCCCTGAAAGCATGTGGCACTCCATATCCACGGGTTCCATGACCACAGATGGAGCCAACTGTGGATTGAAATCTGTCCTGAATGCATACAGGCTTAATTTTCTTGTCATTATTTCCTATATCATACAGCAACGAGAAGAACTCTAGAGATTAGTTGAGGAGAAGGACAGGAGAGGGAGTGGGGGAAAGATATTTATGTTGGTATGTAAGCAGGGTGGTTTGGACAACTGTACTGTGCATTTCTGCTGGTCTATGGAAAGGAGCAGTTAATATTTAATTTGTTTTGTTTTCAATTGTTTGCTCTTTTTCTCTCCTTAATTTTTCATACATTTCTTTTTTCTTTCTTCCAATTTTACATGCATATATCTGGAAGACAACACTATGTATTACAACAAATACTGTGAAATTAATATTACTCTGTTAAGTGGAATTCTGTATCACTTGCATTTTTTTCTACTTTAATTCTAATTTGTACTCTCCTTAAAAAATATATGGGAGGATGTGAATTATATGCAAATTATATGTAAAATCTATGCCATTTTACTCAGGGGACTTGAGCATCTGCAGATTTTGATAGCCAGGGGAGGGGAACTTCCTGGAGCTACTCCCACAGGGACACCAAGGGTGACCGTCCTCAGGTACCACCTTAAAAGGAGAAAGTGTGGAAAGAGGAGCAAATACCCAATTGCTACATTAACTGCTAAGTCTTTAAGTTATTGGGATCAATTTCTGGACACTTATTCTATGACGTATCTGCACATATACAAAATGGTGTAGGGATAAGGCTCCTTTTTTAATAAAACAGAAGTTTAGAAACAGCATAAGGGCCCACCAGTGGGACTGGTTAAATAAACGGGTCTGTCCTCAGCAGCAGCGCCTTTGCATCTTTAAATATGAATGAGGACAGTCTGTTCTACATACACAAATGCGGGATATTGTGTCACTGTTTTAACTTTTATGAAGGCAATGAAAAGCTTTGCATGCTAATAGGACACTATCTCCTGGAAGTTTCCAGTGACAAAAGCCAAATGTATCGGCTATGCAGGTCTCCCTGGCTGACTCCCTGAGGCCCACATGTGACACCTGGATCTTTACTTTGCTTCTCCTGCCCTCGCTAGGCTCTTAGACTCCGTGATTCCCCTCCACCTCATCCCGTGGCCCTATACCCACGAGAGTTTTCCTTCACACCTCCTAGGCCTGCAGCTGAATCTGACCTTGCTTCTTACACTGCTGAGACTCTTCTGCACTGTTCTCTTTTGCAGGGCCATACTGACCTCTCTAGCACACTGGTGCCCCTTCTCCTAATGACCTACCAGGAGAAAATGACCTCTGTCTTGGGATGGAGTGGGTTCTGAGCCCTTGAATCCCATCAGAAACATGGATTCCATTTTCCACACTGTTCCTGTGGCTCACACCATCAGACAGAGCCATTACGGTGGTGACAGAGGGTGCGGACCTCCCTGGCTATGACCTGTCTTCTACCTCTCTTCTTGCTACTTGCTACCAAAGCCCAGGTTGTGGGCTAGAGTGGGGAAAGGAGGAGGCCGGGAGGGGAGAGGGTGCTGATGAAGATGGTGGACTGTGCTTGGACGTAAGGAACGTGGAAGCAGAATGCTGCGGGAGCTGGAGGTCTTGAGCAGGCCATAAAGGCAGTGTAACAGGAGCAGAGGGGAGGAGCATGTCATAGCCAAGAGGATGATCTCCAAAGTGATGTCTTCGTTTCCTATGAGGATGAGCCCTGAGACTGTGGTCCCTCCGTGGTCCTTTTTTTTTTTTTTTTTTTTAATGTATTTGGTACTGGGTCTTACTATGCAGCTCAGACTTGTAGTGATCCTCCTGTTTTCAGCCTCAGTGATGGGATTACAGGCATGCACCACCATGCCTGGACTCTGTGGCTGACTCAGTGTGCTCAGGGGCATGGCTGGCATGGCAAACCCCAGTCCCTGCGCTTGCCTAAGCAGGCACTTAGTCTGCTGAGCTATCTTGCCAGCCATCTCCATGGTCCTTCAACTGACCAGAGTCATGGCAGCAGAGCTCCTTGTGCCAAGGCAAGTCCTTCTACACAGGTTGGATCTGTCCAGGGTGCTTAGGTGCCTGCATGGACACTAGGGTGTTGGCTCTACAAGGCACACAGGGGCAGCACTGCTGTCCTGATATTTTCCAGCAGGATGTGATGACTCTGTTAAGCTGTGACACTGTGATAGGCAGTTATGTTTAATGTCATAGGTGGAACTGGCCGAAGCTGGGGCTTCCCTGGAGTTAGGCTCCAGTCACCACGGTAGTGCCTGACTTGTTCCCCACAGGTCCATGCTGCCTTCTCTTCTCTAGTTCGCTGCCTACACTCACTGGGCTTCCTAGGGTCTTCCAAATAAACTACTCCAACTCTCATCTTTGTCTCAGGGTCTGCTTCTGGGGAGCCCAAAGTAAAACAGGTGATCATTGTATCAGCTGTTTACCAAGACTGGTTATGCCCTGTACACCCACAGAATCTCAGCACGAATCCTTCATGTCCCTTGTCACACTGCCTGGGAGTGAGCTATTCCCAGCTGCGTTCTCTGAGGCTTAGAGGTACTTACTTTACCAGGGGTCCAAAGCAGGTAAGGAGGAATCAAGCCTGGCTTTTGTCAGCATACCTGAGGCAGTGGTCTTAGCAGCAATGACCGAAGAAGGGTCTGTACTGCCTCTGCTTCTTCCTCCCCATTCTCAGTAAGTACCCATGCTCTGCAAGCACTCCCTTGCAATACACCCTGAGTCTTTACCAGGGCTAAGTACAGCCTTTGGCTTGTATTACCTATCAGAGTCTCTACAGCAGCCCTAGGATGTGGCTGACTTCAATCAGTATCTATCTATCTATCTATCTATCTATCTATCTATCTATCTATCTTCTTTCTTCCTTCCTTCCTTCCTTCCTTCCTTCCTTCCTTCCTTCCTTCCTTCCTTCCTTCCTCCTTTCCTTTCCTTTCCTTTCCTTTCCTTTCCTTTCCTTTCCTTTCCTTTCCTTCTTTTTATCTTTTTGAGACCAGGTTTCATTATGTAGCTCAGGCTAGCCTTGAGCTCACTCTGTAGGCCAGGCTGTTCTGGAACTCACAATAGTCCTCCTGCCTCAGCCTCCTGAGTGCTGGGATTATGGGCATGCACCACCACAGTTGGCTTCATCCTTCTTTTCTAACCAAGGTCCTTGAGTGGAAGTGGGCTACCCAAGGCCACATGCCTAGTACCGCATGGAGCCTGAGTCCTTCCCCTCTACCATAGGGATGGAGAATGGTAGCAGGCAGAACAAAAGAGGAGAGAGATAGCGAAGCCACCGCTGACCCTGCCACCAGGTGGGTGACAATACAGGCCTGTCTTGGGATCCAGCATGATCACATTCAAGGTAAATGGGTCTGCTCCCTGTGAATTATCTGCTAGCAGCAGCCATATCCATCTGCTCGTTAACACACACACACACACACACACACACACACACACACACACACACTCAACAGAGCCTTCTGATTCTCAGCCCCTGGGGGGCCCAACTACATAACTTGAAAACGACTTTATTAAGTCTGATCAAATGCTCATTGTTCAGTAATTAGAAATCATGGCACTTCCCTCCAGGCGCGGGGTTCCTAAGCAACAGCTGGATAAGCTTTTTATTTGGGTGGGACCAAAATCCTCCTCAGATCCATTTCCAACAACAGGCACCAGCTTCAGCGGGGAAAGCAGCAGGAAGCTGGGTTTTGCTTTTGCCTCCCAAGTCTGCAGACAGTGAGATTCGAGGAAGCGAGCAGATGTCAAAAGAGGCCTCTCATCGAGACAGGGCAATGGACATCAGCACCCCAACTCAAGCTGAGCAGTGTGCAGAGTCCCTTCAGCGGTGGCTGACAGAAAGGAGAGGTGTGGGGCCGGGGAGATAGCTCAGTGGGCTAAGTGCCTGCCTGGCAAGAGCAAGGACCAGGGTTCAATCACCAGTACTGCATGCTGTGCTGCCGTGCTGGCCACCAAAACCAGGTGTGGTGGTGCAGGCATGTAATCCCAGCACTGGGGAGGCTGAGACAGGAGGATCAGTATGAGTTTGAACTACATAGTGAGACCCTGTATCAAATAAATAAATAGAGAGAGAGAGAGAGAGAGAGAGAGAGAGAGAGAGAGAGAGAGAGGTGTGGTGAAAGTCCAGTCGTGAAGACCACAGTGGGAGTGGATCAGCCACAGACCCTGAAACCTACAAGGGGTGAGCTGTAAGGAGGTTCAGCCAGAACACCAGTGATTGCTTCACCAAATCATTCCATAAATATTTATTGAGGGCCTACTAAGTGATAGCACTTCTCTAGACATGGAGATTAGATAGTGAATAAAAAAATATAGGCATCTCTTAAAGACCTGACAGGTCAGCTGGGGGAGGCGGTCCATGCTAAAGCAGAGTGTGAAGTCTGGGGTCTGAGAGGGCTGGGTGCAGAGGCCTGTGGGGTAGGGGCCAGGCAGACCTCACCCCCAGAGCTGAGAAAGGAAGTCCTTGTCTCTGTCCTCTGAGAGTCCCCAGGGATGAGCCGTACATCTGGAATGCACAGATCCAGCTGTGGCCTCTTCTTTCTTGCCCTTAAACTCTCATGTGCTGGACGTTGGCACCCAAGAACAGGAAGTCCTAGGAAAAACAAGACAGCTCAGGATGCAAGGAGCATCGTCTGTTGCACAGACATACCTGTGCCGTGAGCGAGCCCACGTCTCAGGAAACGCAAGCTCTACCAGAAACCAGGTTAGCATATAAATTGCCATCGTGCCCTTGTCCCCAAGGTCTCCACAAAGCACAGCTTCTGACAGCTACCTTCTCCCAGGCACCAATCTGTCATTTTCCAAGCTGTGGCCTTTCTAGCAGGCCTCATAAGTGTCCTTTGTGTCGCCTAAATTTTCTCCCCTTGGTGAAGAATGGAAAATTGTGAGCTGCTGCACTTAAACTTTTGTTACCCAGAGTGGAAGAAACTTGGAACTCAAGGGAAAAATCCAATTCTGCGCATAGCCACTGATCCAACCCCTACTTTGGTGGCCAGACAAGTGGATGGAGTTGACCTTAAAATTATAATGAATGTGATAAATATGTAATAAATCATCCCACATGCCAAACATTGAGCTACATGCTTTCATCACTGGCCTTTCACCTTCACCAAAACCCAGGACTGGTTTCACTTCATTCTACAGAGGAGAAAACTGAGGCCAACTGTGTAAATTGTCACTTAATCTTCACTTTAATGATTTTCTTTTTACTCCACTTGTGAGCATTCAGCAGTAGTTGACTCTTAAGTATCTTGAAGCCCATAAGAGCTCCGAACACTTATTTTTCAAATGTAATTTGTGACCAGGACTTCTTTGTTCCCACCTACTCTCCATCCATCCATCCTCTTAACAGCTAGGATTTCCTGGCTGGGCACAGCATGTCCTGTGACACCCATACCTCTGCTAGCCCAGTTGTCTCCCATGGGAGATGCTGTTCAAGAAAGATAAGCTGCAATGGGGGAACAGATGGACCCCAGAACACTTGGCCAGAACAGTGGTTAGGATCATGAAGAATCAGGCATATTTCTTGATGCTAAAATAGTTAATCTGGGGCTGGGGAGATAGCTCAGTAGAATAAGTGCTTGTCTGGCAAGCACAAGGGCCTGAGTTCAATCCCTGGTTCCACCTAAATAATAAATAA